TTAGCTTGCTTCCTTGGCTTGCTCAGTTACTTTCTTAGAAAACCCAGGACCACCTGCCTAGTAGTGGCACTACCCAAGGAGGCCTGGACGATATTCCATCAGCTGTTAATCAATGAAATGTCCCATAGACTTGCCTTCAGGACAATCTGATGGAACTATTTTCTCAGTTAATCTTCCCAGAAATTTCTAGGTTTGAGTCAAATTGACAAAGACAACTAGTACACCATATAAGTAATGAAAACATACATTTTCTGTAATGTATTTTTATATGTTGATTAATTTTGTTGGTGTTATTGATTTGTTTGTTTGTTTTGGATTACCATTTGAAAAAGACTTACTATGTAATCCTGGTTGGCTAGGAGCTTATATGTAGACCAGGTTGGCCTTGAACTGACAGATTCATCTGCCTCTGCCTTATGACTGCTGGAATTAAAGGTATGTGCTTCCCTGCATGGTGGAATTAATTTAAAAAAATTCTTAGTTTCTAAAACTATAGACTCAGAAGAAATTGTATCAGTATTACAGAGAGATTTCATATACACATATTCAGTTTTCTCCAATGGTAACCCTCTTACACAGCTATAGTTCAATATCACAAGTAGGAAATTGACATTAATAAAATCTACAGACCTCTGTAGTGGTTTCTCCAGTCCCACCTAGCCCTGTGGCCCTGCAGCTGCTTATAAAATAATCACCCAGAGGCTTAGTATTATTTATAAACTGTATGGTCTATGGCTGGCCTCTTGCTAGCCAGCTCTTATATCTTAAATAAACTCATTTCTGTTTATCTATGTTTTGCCATGTGTTCCTTGGCTTACTTACCAGTCTGTTGTTATATTGTTCCTTGGGCAGCAGGCTGGCATCTCTCTAGACTTTGCTTTTTTTTGCCTGTCTCTCTCCTTGGATTTCCCTCCTGCCTCTAAGCTGCCTTGCCATAGGCCAAAACAGCTTTATTTATTAGCCAATGGGAGCAACACATATTCACAGCCTACAGAAAGACATCCCACAGCAGACCTCAGACCTCTTTGGTGCTCTTTTAGTAATTTTTTTTGGGGGTAAATAATATACTCCTATGTTATAATACAATTTTCACAATTTATTGGTTAAAATATTTGTATAAACTGTGGAATATTTATAATATTCTGTATGTCAGTTTTTGTCTCCACATCTCTCATACCTGATCCCTGGAGCTTTATACAGTTCTCCATTTCCAACAAACACAATATTCAACAGTGACAGTAGAGGGTGCTGAAGGGACACTTCAGGAAGAAGACATTTTGCCTTCTGATGTGCTGTTTATTTTTCTCGTTTTTTTCCACAGATCTGGGAATGAAGTAGTATGCTACATACCTTTGGTTTTGGCACAGTGAGGCACCCATGCCAACCTCTCAGTAGAGACATAGTGTGCCTCAGGCTCTGTACCACCTTGCTTCTGTGTTGGCATCAGGAATTTTGATTTTCTTTGCTCTTTTGCCTGCCACACTTAGCTGCCTGCTTACTGACTTTGCCTGGAGAGCCCAGCAAACGTTGCTTTCCAAAAGGCTGCGATCACTTCTGCCTTTATAGGAAGGTCTGAATGTCAGGGAAAAGATATTCCCCACCCTTTCCAAATTTGCTCTTACTTGGGGTACTTTCCTTTTCTTTATAATTATCCACCTATTACAGTAAAAGATTTTTTTTTAAAAAATTTTAAAATCATTTTAAGTTATGTCTATATGTTTGTGTCTGTGTGTAGGTATGTGCATATGAGTGTAGGTCCCCACAGAGGCTGGAGAAGTTGGTTTTGGAGCTGGCATTCCAGGTGGTTATGGATGGTGGGAGTCAAACTTGGGTGCACTGGAAAACAGTATGTGCTGTTAACTGCTAAGCCATCTCTCCAGGCCCCTAAGTATTTATTTATAGTAAACCTTTCCTGTTGAAATTATTATGTGCTCTATCCCCTTATTGGGTCTCAATTGACAGTTTAATTGAACTAGTTTTTAATGACATTAGTTAGTCCCACAGGTAAAGTTTGGAAGCAAAACAAACAAACCAACAAAACACAAATAATTGTTTTAAATAGCCCTGCCATGATAAGATAATAACTGATAAGATAATGACTACCATGTGATATTTTTTAACCATGTGTTTATCTTATTCCAGGTGTCTCATACAGAGGCTTTTTCATACCATTTTTAACCTTTGTAAGAAATATAGCTTGTTAATACAAGGCAGCACAGTAAGGAACTGAATGAGAGCATCTTGCTCTTCTTTCCAAAGCCTTTCCATTGGGCATCTTTGGGGCTTTTTAAGGCAGATAAATTTAGGGATAACTTTTTATGTTTATAGTAAGAGTAAAATTATTTTTATTTTACTAATAAAATATTACCTAGTTGATAACAGTTTATCTTTATTTTTAATGGAAGCATTTAAAAAGGATTTACTTTATGTGTCTGTCCGTGTGTGTGTGTGTGTGTGTGTGTGTGTGTGTGTGTGTGTGTGTGTGTGTGTGTATGTCATGTGTGTGCCAATACCTTTGGGGAGTTACAGGTGATTGTGAGCCATCTGAAGTGGGTGCTGGGAACTGGTTGGCTGGAAGGAGCAGCAAGTGCTCTTAATCGCTGAACCATCTCTTCAGCCACCTTAGTGGAAGCATTGGAAAAGAAAAAAATAATTTACAAAGATTTTTGGAACCTTTGAAGGGAAGAAGAAGGAAAACTTAATATTATTTAATTTAGTAGAGCTTTAAGACAACTTCTTAACAAAGTTAGGTGAATCTTTAAGTAATTTTAGAATTCAGTTTTAAGTTGTGCTTGTGTGCGTACACCAGTGTAGTAGTTACTTCTCTGTTGCTGAGATAAAACACCACGACTAAGGAGACTTATACAAGAAAGTGTTTAATTGGGCTTATGGAGGGTTCTGGAGGGTTGGAATGCATGATGGTGGAGTGAAGGCAGGTGAGAGTCACATCTCCAACCTCAAGTAGAAGGCAGAGAGCTCACTGGGAATGGCAGGAGTTTTTGGAAACCTCAAAGCTTGTGTCCCTAGTGACAAACCTCTTTAATAAAGCCATACCTTCTAACCCTTCCTGAAGAGTTTCAGCAAATGGGACCAAGTATTCAAATGCCCCAGACTTATGGGGCACATTTTATTCAAGCTACCACAATCAAGGTGCCCTTTTGAGGTTCAGATTGTAATATAGGGTTATTTTGCTAAGATAATGTAAAAATTATAGTTTTGCCATTTATGTCCAAATGATTGAGAAGTTAGAGTGTGATACTTTATATTTTCCAAAACAGTCAAAAGAAGAGAGGATATATTAAAAACTGTTGGTATTGGTTTAGTCAGGAGCCTTGAGAAATAGATTTTTTAAAAAAATTCACAGTACTTTCATGTTTGTAACTTAAAAAAAAAACTTAAAATCTAGGAGCTCATTCTTAAAGAACCCAAGGAGATGTTGGAGAGGGCAGAGCAGACAGGAGAGTATGAGATAAACCCACCCTGATTGACCTTAGGCCACAAACTGTATATATGAACAACAGTTACATTATTAATTATTATTAGCAAGAGGTAAGGTGACAGTAGAAGAACTAATACAGCAAATCATATAATTAAATTTAAAGGAGATAGTGTAATTTAAAATTTTGACTGCTAGAACAAATTGTTTTTTACTTTGTTTCCAGTGGTACAAGAATGTGTTTGGAAAATTATTTTCTGAGTTTATAAGCTTTATATTGGCTATAGGCATGGTCTTTGCTGGACACCAAAAGGAAGCCTTTCAAGGCATTTCCTGTGCTTGCAGCAAGTATAATCACTACTTACTGGAGTCATACTTATGTAGAAATGTGCCACTAGGAAAGCAAGCCTTTGAATAACAGGAATTAAGCGTTGACTGGTCAGCTGCCAGTATAAAAACCAACACTTTATTTTTTAAATGTTGTTAGGAATCAAACCCAGGACATTATGTATGCCAGACAGCCTCCATACTTCTGAGCTATATATCCAACTCCTGGCACTATTTTGAAATTTTAAAAAGTTTATGTTTTATTTAGTTACATTCTTTACTCCCTATATACAATTCTGCATAGCATATTTTTATATTTTAGTATTGCTATGGTTAAAATAACTATTAAGTGTTAGTATGCATTGGCAGAATGACACTCTGGACAGGTAACAGTGCTTATTGAGTTATGAGACCTATTTAATAGCAATATAAATTTGAGTGCATTGTTTAACTGATCTGGACATGGCTTTGCTTACCTAGTGGAGCTATTAGTAGTCTAGAAATTATATAAAAAAGTTGAGTTTTAGAGCTTATGAAAACTTTTTCCAAATACAGTAGTATTGATGGGATTCCTGAAGCTATGTTAGCACCAGGAAGCATGGATAGTAGATAATAATTATTAATCATGTATTGGATAATATTGTCACCAGTATGATAGAACAGTTAGTAATGAGGTTATGTAATTGGTTTTTCTCTGAACTGAGTATATAATATTAACATGCTACATGGTCAACATGAATCTTAAGGGCCAAAATTTTATTTTGTTAATCTGCCTTGATACAGAGAGAGCACAGTATCTTTTTCTTATTTTAAAAGAAAAAGATACTTTTTTTTTTTTTTACTTACCTGGGTTAATTATTACCTATAGATTTGGAATAACTATAAGGCAGATAGAATCTTTTATTTTTCTAGGATCTAATTTATATCCTACCATATTAATAATGTATTAATTTTTAATGAATTATTTAATTGTACTTTTAGGGCAATTTCTGATCTTGGTTATTTTTATTTGTAAAATAAAGACCTGAGAATTTTGACAACTTATTTTTCTGATTTGAATACAATTTTTTTTGTGTATCTTGTGTTTTTATTTATTATGTTCCAGGAAAAACAAGAAAAGCTATTTGTGAGTATAAAACTTAGATTGTATAGTTATTCTGAAAAGGCTTTTGCTCACTGGGCTTCTGTGTTCTTTTTGATACCTTATTTTTCCTTTCTTTTCCCCCAACATTTTCAGATGTTTTGGAATGTTATTAAGCCCAGGTCGAAACGTGAAGAACAGTGACATGCATTTACTGGATATGGTAATGACAACCTTAAGCATTCTAATCAAGTACAGAAGATAGTTATTTTATATTTAAAAAATTTTTCTGTTTTAAAAGTTTGTCATATTGTCAGGGTTTTTTATTTTAATTTTGTCCTAGCAATAATTAAATTTGGATACTCAAAATTACTTATGAAGGGAAGATTAGGAAAATTTCTATCTAACAATCTACTGTAGGATGAAAGTACATAAAAGGAACCTGTTGTGAGAGTGCCATCTACTTTGTTTGGCTTCTTAAAGAAGGAAGATGCCTTTTCTTTGAGCCTAAAATAACAAACATGGTTATAACAAACATCTGCCGTGTGTGCCTCTAACCTTTCACTTATTAATGCACTGACAACTCAGGACTGTGATGATGCTTATTTTCCTTGAAGCATCTCACTTTCTGAGTTTGTACTTAGCAGTGAATATTTACTGTATTTCTTTAAGAAATGCCATTAAGAGATTAATGATAAATGTTCAGAGGTTGGTGTTTGTTGTGAAGGCAGCAAGGCATCTTACTTCTTAAACCCAAGTACCTTCTGATGTTGCTGTTAACATTCATTTTAGATTTATAATGTTACAGAAATATGTTAGAGTAAGTGTAGATTTTTATATAGTTTATATATTTTTATATATTTCAACTGTGTCTCATAAATTTAAGTATCACAGTGGGGAGCTTTTCTTTTAATTTTTCATAGTAATTATATCAGCATTAATTTTCTAGCATTATTGGAATGCTTTGTTCAAAGTTTTGGGCACCCATTTGTATGCCAAACGTTGTGTGAAATATTGGGGTTTTAGATTTGTGCAAAATACAGCTCTTAGGAATAGGGCTCTTAGTGTTGTTTTGAAATCAGACCCTTTAAGAGTGTAATTGCAGCAGTGGGTTAAGGGCTTTCTCAAGTGTATAGTGTGCTGTCTTAGGGTTTCTGTTGCTATGAAGAGACACCATGACCATGGCAACTATTATAAAGGAAAACATTTAATTTGGGTGGCTACAGTTCAGAGGTTTAGTTCATTATTGTCATGGCAGGAAACAAGGCAGTATGCAGGCAGACATGGTGCTGGAGAAGGAGCTGAGCATTTTTTCATCTTGATCCTGCAGGCAATAGGAAGTGATCCATCTCACTGGGTGTGGCTTGGGCATATATGACACCTCAAGTCTGCCTCAACAGTGACACACTTCCTCCAACAAGACCACACCTCCTAATAGTGCTTCTTTCTTTGGGGACCATTTTATTACAAACCACCACATGTACCATGGACATAGAGAGAGGAAGTTCTGCCTAGATAGGTCAGGCAAGGACAACCAGTTATATGTATAAGCATAAATTAGTTATTGATCCATCTCTTTTACCCTCCTCAACAACTCATCGGTAATGAATGATGGTTTTCCTAAAGCAAGCCATAGCATTTTGGAGCCATGAGAATTCCATGGTGGGGGTGGGGGGAGTCATTTTGAGAGTACTTAGGCATTAGAAAAAGGATGTTCTAGTTATGGTCTTTCAGAATCTAAAGGATTAAGATAAATCATTGCTAGAGATTTTCATCATGAAACCTAAAATCAGATTAGAGTTATAAAACTGGTGTGAACTGAGACTCCATAGTCACTTCAGTGTATTTGACCCCACCTTTTAGTCATCGTGATCAAAGGCCCTGACAGTGTTCATTTTCCTGGAAGAGAAGTGGGCTTACCTGCACAAAAAATAGTCGGGCAGTGCTAGGCTTTGCATTTTTGGTATATGTGCTGCCAAAGCGAGCACAGGCTTTGCATTTTTAATTATCAGTACTCATTATTTACTGTTACCTGGTGTTGTTAATCTTCATGATATCTTAATAGGTGGACGCTGACCCTTGGCTAGATTCTGTCTAGTAACAAGAAATTCAGTACCTTATATTGAAACTGAGGAGGTGGTTCTGGTTACTGACAAGTTATTTGGAAAGCACAAGTTACACTTTTTGTAACTTTGCCTAAATACTTTGGATTTTGTTCCTTATAGTAAGATGTTAATACCTTTGCTCCTATGACATACCCAAATGTCATGTGAAACTGAAAACAAGTTTTCTGCCACTTTATTTTAATAGACTTTGAGAGGCATGCAAATTACTTTGAACAATTAGTGCAACTTTTATTCATAGTGAACAATTTTTTATGATTAAAAGTTTCATTTTTAGATTTTTATGCTCCAGTAAACCAAATTTACACAATTTCTACTTGCTTGCTCCCCTTTCTCCCACTCTTTCTTGGATTCATGATCTCTTCTACAATTGTTATTGTTACATACATACATACATACTTGTGTATATTCACAGCTTCCTGAGTTGTTTAGTGTTACATTTAGTGTTGATGGTATGTACATACTTTTAGAGATGATCACCTGATGTTTGATAATGTATCAAGAGGTTCATCTCTGGAAAATAGTGATTTTTCTATCTCATGGCAAGTATTGACTGTCTATTATTCTTCATCTAGGAGTAGAGTCTTATGAAACTTCCTCTATTTCCAATGTCTTGTCCAGTGGTGTGGTCATTATTAAAGTCATTTTTAGGCAACCATAGTGTTGAGTTTTCATGGATGTAGCATATTTGTCATGCCTAGTGATTCTCTGGCTCTTAGAATCTGTTCTCTCCATTTTCCCTGATGTTCTCTGAGCCTTAGGAGTACGGATTGTGTTGTTGATATCCCAGTTGGGGCTGGGCACCCCATGGCCGTTTATTCTCTTTATTTTGACCAGTTGTGAATATTTGCAGTAGTCTCTGCTGCAAAAAGAAGCTTCTTTAATGAGGATTGAGAGTTATACTTATCTGTAGGTATAACAATAAATGCTTAGAATACAGTTAGATGTTATATTGATTTAGAAAAATGATAGTAATAATTCCTCCTTTAGGATCTGTGACTTCTTCACTCATAGGTGGATGGCGAGGTTTATGGTACCAGGCTTGAATTCTCTTGCATTACATGGATCTTAAGTCCAATTATGCAAGGTGCCAGAGGAGAAAAGTATTTCATAGTCCTACCCAGCTACTGAACCGACAAACCATAACAATAACCCACCCAGCAAGATATTCCCAATGGTGTAGTAGTGGTACTTACCTCTTGGGTGTGTTGAACATTTTTTAAGTAATAATGACTTTTCTTTCCTATGTGTATTTTATAATTAGGTGAGTTGAGACTTTTATAGTTTATTAAACCTATTATTGTGGTTTAAGGTCTTCACAAATTGGGCAAGTCATACTTAAAAATGACACTGTATTTGTTACTTTTTTCATTGCTATGACAGAATACAAGATGAAAAGCAATGTAAGGGAAGAAGGATTTATTGATTCATAGTGAAGAGGGTGTAGTCTTCTCATAGAAGGGAAGGCATGACAGGCAGGTTCAAGGTGGAAATAACATTTGGGTGGGATTCCTCCCCTTCCGGAAGACCAGGAAGCAAAGGCAGGACATGCTGGCACTCTTCCTCCCTCTTTCATTCAGTCCTGACCTCCAGGGCATGCAGTATGTCTCACACATTCAGGGTGGGTGCTTCTCACTTCAGTTTCTTTGGAATCACCCTTACAGATACATCCAGAGACTTGTCTCCCAGGTGATTCTAAGTCCTGTTAATGTAACAGTAAGATCATAAACGCAGTTTCCTTTGTATTTGTATATCTATATATAAATCTATATATGTACACATACACACACACATATATATGTATATGCACACACATAAATAAAATCACATGCAACAGAATTTTAGATTTTTTGGGGGAATGAAGAGTACAAGACTCAATATTTTGCTACTAATGAGAATATTTTTAGTCAGGGAAGTTGTAGGGTATGAAGTAAGTAAGTGGTTCTAACCATAACTATTGATAACTTAGGAAAAGCCTAACAGCAAAATACCACAAAAGACAGAAAACGCAGTAAATCTAGAGTCTATTGAACTGGACCACAATTTAAAATTCCAGTCTTAGAGATGTTCCAGAGTATGTGGATCTTTATAATTAACCATATGTTGACACTAAATTGAAAGGGCACATTTTTATATTGTGATCCGGTATATTTGGAATGTATATGTATGTGGAAAACATGGAGGTAAAGTTTCTTGAAGCAGTTCTTCTGTATGTGAGTGATAAAGTCCTACTCCCCACTCCACACCATCTTTGTCTTGTGGATCTCATTCTCTTTGCTTGTCTTTGTCTCCTCCTCTTCCTTTCTTCTCCCTCTGTTTTTTTTTTTTTTTGTGGATGATATATAATTTTAAAGGTTTTTGTTGTTTTGAGAGTATCTTGCTATATAGCCTAATCTTGGCTGTAACTAAGAATTCCTCCTTAGCTTCCTGAATACTGGGGTTGTAGTTCTACACAAGCACATCTGGTTTAAAAGTGGGTTTTAATGTTTCTCTCTTGTCTCTTTAACAGTTTCCTAGTGCACCGGAAGCTATTCTTTATAGTTTCACTTCATAATATTTTGCTACTTTATATGTGGCTTGTTCTTACTGAAATCTTTAAGCTTCCATGGCTAATGCCCAATTTCTGTATTTGTTAGTTGAAAGGAAGATTATGATTACTCTAGTTAATTTTTTTGTACTCAAGCACAGCAGACATTCAAGCATACAGAAATAGATTGCATCTTCTAGGTAATAAGCTCATTCCTGTTCTGAATGAGGACTAGGTAGTGTGGATAGTGAAGAGCTAGAGGAGTATGTGTGTGTGTGTGTGTGTGTGTGTGTGTGTATCTGATGTGATGTATGAGGGAGAGGAAGAGTAAAGTTATGAATATTTAGGGGGATTTGCTTAGTGGTTTCCTTTACATATATCCTTCAGTTACTTCATCTCTGGAATGCAGGATTCTTGGCCTTATATAATTTAGCTATCAAATTTATAGTTATATACTAGAAGAATATAATAATCAAGTGACTGACACAATTTTATAGGAATTCAGAGAAATGTCTATGAGGAATGGAAAGAAGTTTTCTTTGTTTTGGTCTGGTTCTTTTTTCATTGTTTGTAATACAAGAAAATACAAAAAATGGAAAGTTCTGTAGATAGCATTCATTCATATTTGCATGTTACCACGCTTCTTTGGTGTTCTTCCACAGGGTGCCATTTTGTCTTACTTTCTCTGAAATATATATGCACAACTAATTTATGGCCTTGCTTTCAATAGTCAAGAGCTGGCTAAATAAAAACATTAAGATGGAGGAGATAAGCAGAGAAGAGGAAAAAAGTAATTAGGAAGGAAGGCAGCAGGAAGGAAAAAGGGGTGAAGAGAGCCTGATTGGGGAGGAGGAAGTCAGAGTGATAGAAGAAGAGGAAAGAGAGATAGAGCTATATTTGTTGATTATAAATAGTTTCTCCATTGTGATTTCTTATTGACTTATAGATACTAGAGAGTATTAAGTTTGAAGTTTGAAGATACTGCCATAAAGTAAAGTAACATTACCACTTTCCCCTTCTGTGGTTAGGTATTTCTATAGGTGTGTGTGTGTGTGTGTGTGTGTGTGTGTGTGTGTGTGTGTGTGTGTGTGCTTTTTTTTTTGATTCTGGAAATTGAACTTAGTGCAGGTAATTTTATATTGTGGTCTTTTGTATATGGATATTTTGGCAGCAAGCAAAAGATCACATTTAATATACCTTTACAACTTTATGTTTTCATGACTCAGAATGAATGGGTGTGCCTCTTTTCATGCAAGAAGTACATGTGTTTATACTGAACCTGTGTTTGAAGATAGCTAGGATATAATAATACTCAAAGAAATGTTTTTGTAGGGGAAACTTTACAGTAAAATGTAGGCCCCTGTTTGAGATACACATTTTAATAAAATGATGAAGGGCATAATTTTAAATTGTGATGATTTCTCTTGTGCATAGTATCCGTGATTCCTGTTTGAACTTTTCTAGGAATCCATGGGAAAGAGCTATGATGGCAGAGCTTATGTCATCACAGGCATGTGGAACCCCAATGCACCAATATTTCTGGCACTCAATGAAGAAACCCCAAAAGGTGACTTTTCTTAAAATGTTTTTTATTACTTCAAAATTTTATTGTGAGCAGTCTTGTTTTATTACACTTTTAGAAAGTACTTAGCCGGGCGGTGGTGGCGCACGCCTTTAATCCCAGCACTCGGGAGGCAGAGCCAGGCGGATCTCTGTGAGTTCGAGGCCAGCCTGGGCTACCAAGTGAGTTCCAGGAAAAGGCGCAAAGCTACACAGAGAAACCCTGTCTCGAAAAAAACCAAAAAAAAAAAAAAAAAAAGAAAGTACTGATGCCTATTTAAATTGAAGATATTCTTATTTAGAATACTGATGAATATTTATGAAGTTCCTTTTCATATTTTTCATGCTTTTCTGGGGAAAACCTTCATTAGTTAAAACAATTACTTTAATAGCCATGTTGATTAGTTGCATTAGATTGTGTGGAAGGCATATGACTTTGTGCTTTATATATTGCTGTAAAGTTGGTTGTTTTATTTGGATGAGAGTGATGGAGGAAGATGAACAATGTAAGCAAACAAATTTTGGAAGTTTGCATATCTTTATTTACCATTTTAACTAAGCATTGTAGATTACTTACATTTTTATTAATTTCTCAATCTAGGTTTTAGATCTTTGATCTGCTTAAACTAAATTAAAATTTTGCTTGATTTATAGTTTTACTGAAAATGTGTTATTTTCATTCAATTAAATATGTATGTTCAAAATACATCAACTTGTTTTATCTTTAATTTTATGTTAGTTTATGCCCATATTTGACTTTTGTCTAAAGACAAGAAATATCAGTGATAACTAATAGGAAAATAAGCTCTTCTTGTGAAGAATATTAAAATGATAGCTATTCTCTGTTGTCTGTAAAGAGAGTGGGTGTTCACTAGTTCCATAAAGTCCATGCATTTGATTACATACGATATTATCTAAAAGTGAGAGTTAAAATAGCAAAAAAAGTTTATGTAAAACTGAGCCTTGGGCTGGGAAGATATCTTATCAGTTGAAGCATTTGCTTGCTAAGCAAGCAAGGGGTCAGTAATTCATATCCACAGTATCCAAGTAAGTCCTAGGTGGGCATGGGAACCCACCCTTGGAAGGAGGAGACAGAATCCCTAGAGGAAGCTAGCTAGCTAGACTTGCTGTGTTGAAGATGTAGGTCTGATTGAGGGGCCATGCCCCAAAACAAAAACAAAAACAAAGATAACACCAACAAAAAAGAGGATTCCCAGATTCCTAGCATCAATCTTTGGCCTCCATGCTTATGGCAAATGTGCATGCACACCTGTACATACTTATTGCCTTCCCATGTAAATATGCACACAGATGTATAAGATGTTTAATATGCATAAGAAATGGTTCCTTCTCCACACAAATGTAAATATGCATATACATGTACATATAAACTCCATATAAAAAGATATTTTAGAAGGCCGGGCATAGTGGAATATTCCTTAAATCCTAGCATTTGGGAGGCAGAGTCAGGCAGATCTCTGTGAGTTCAGGCCAGCCATGGCTACATAGTGAGACCCTGTTTCAAAAACCAAACAGATTTGAGAGACAAAGAAGAAATTATTCATAATAAGTCCAAAATTCTTAGTAAGTATCAAACAGGAAATAAAATAAAATGAAATTCACATTTCAGTCTATCATGATGGAAAATGGCTTAGAATATTCTACATTTAAATACGAATTTTGTGACAAATTAAATATTTTAAATAGTAAGTAGAAATGTGGCTGATAACACTTTATCATCCCTTAAAACACTTTTGCTTTTACATGTGTGAATAGTATGTATATGTGTACACATACACACACACACACACACACACACACACACACACACACACACACACGTGAAAGCTGCATGTTGTATTTCACTGAAGTTTTAATAATGGCATTTTTGCTGTGTGAGTATGTGCTTAACTACTTAGGTGGTACAGGTGTGAATGGGGCGGTGCTCATACCTGTGTGCCCATGTGGAGGCCAGAAAAGGATGTCTGGTGTCCTTCTATCATGCTTTGCTATATTCCCTTGAGACAGAGGTTCTCACTGAGTCTGTAGCTGGGCTGGCAGCCAACAAGCCCCAGTGATCTTCCTGTTTCTGCCCTACCATAGTCCTAGGACTATAGGTATGCCCAACTGTGTCTGGCTTTTTATATGCTTGCTGAGGATTTTTCTTACACCCAAGTGTACAAGTGTTCTTACAAACAGAGCCATCTCTGCAGCTCAATTTATTATTTTTTTCAAGGATATATATACATTATGAACAGTGAAAGTACTGAAAATTTTCAGAGGTTTTTTTTCTTAGTTCATATCACATGGAGATGTTTATATCAGCAGTGCTGTACTGTAACAGGTTTAAAATGAGAGGCCGAAGCACTAAGCAGCTCCTCTAGTTTGCAGTCACCAAACAGACCTATTAGTTTCTGTTGTTTCTGTTTTAGCTTGAAAGATTACATCTGATTTTCTAGTGATTTAGAGTAAAAGTTATCTTCAACATTTTATTTACTTTTATTTTTTTGTTGCTGGGAATTCGACCCAGGCCATTTCCAGTTTCTCCATAGTCTTTATTTTTTGTATGAAAGATCCGATTTAGAAAATGGAAAAAGACATCTGCCAGGAAATTTAGATACTTGATTATTATAGAATAATCAGTGACTGAGATACATTCTTGGAATACTTGATTACTTATTTAGTGAATAGTTAGAAAATATTTTAAATAAATATATAGAAGGTAATAAGCTTGTCTAGAACTGTAATTTTTATATAAGCAAGGAGATTTTGTTTTCTTCACTAATCAAGGAATAATAAAACCCAGAAATTTTCTGTTGCAGATAAGCGGGTGTACATGACTGTGGCAGTGGACATGGTGGTCACAGAGGTTGTAGAGCCAGTCCGCTTTCTCCTGGAGACAGTGGTTCGTGTGTACCCTGCAAATGAAAGATTTTGGTACTTCAGCAGAAAGACTTTTACAGAGACTTTCTTCATGAGGTTGAAGCAGGTAGGATCTTTTTGTTCTTTTGTTTAGTAGTGTTGCTTTCTCTCAATCAACCTTTTTTCTTTTCTTTCTTTCTTTCTTTCTTTCTTTCTTTCTTTCTTTCTTTCTTTCTTTCTTTCTTTCTTTCTTTCTTTCTTTCTTTCTTTCTTTCTTTCTTCTTTCTTCCTTCCTTCCTTCCTTCCTTCCTTCCTTCCTTCCTTCCTTCCTTCCTTCTTTCTTTCTTTCTTTCTTTCTTTCTTGACAGGATCTCATGTATCTCAGGGTGGTTTCACACTGAATAAATAGCTAAGGATGATCTTCATCTTCCCTCCACCTCCCAAGTACTATGATTATAGATGACAGGCATACAGACACCAAATATGCAATACTTTACCTTTGTTTTTTTTCTTCATCTTCTATTACTCTTCTTTTTTCTTCTTTCTGTTGTTGAATTTAAGAAAACACTACCAAGTAACCTACAACAGAGATGCTGTCTCCTCAGTCCCCTGTCTAACAAGTAGATTATTTCAGTGGATTGGAAATTTGACAAATGAAACCAATAGGCTTATTACTTCTAAAAGAGCACATGACAGAAAGTCTGTTTGAATATAATGAGCAAGGGAGTAATATAAATGATGTTTAATGATGGAATTATCCTTTCTTATTGCTGTACAATATTTTGTTGAGAATGTGCATGCATATATGTGTATGTTCATGCATATGGGATATACATGTGTGTATGTGTTAAGGCCAGAGGTCAAATTCAGGTATTGTCTTTAGGTACTTCTACCTCTGTTTTTGAGACACAGTTACAAGCTGAATTTGGAGCTTGCCAATTCAGTAGGTTGGCCAGCTAGCATTCTCCAGGAAGCCTCCTATTTCCATCTCCACAGCATTGGGATTACACGTGGACAGTATCCTGACCACCTTTTTAATGTGGGTGCTGGAGATCAGACCAAGGTCCTAATGATTTCGTGGCAGCAATTTACCAACTGAATTCTTTTCCCAGTTCCTAGCACATCGCTCAACATTTTGAAATCTGTTCTTTATAAAAATAATTGCTCTCTATTAAAATGACTGATACTTTTTCTAGTGTCAGATGTATATCAAATGTATAGAAGTGTTTTTTTTTTTTTTCGAGACAGGGTTTCTCTGTGTAGCTTTGCGCCTTTCCTGGAACTCACTTGGTAGCCCAGGCTGGCCTCGAACTCACAGAGATCCGCCTGCCTCTGCCTCCCGAGTGCTGGGATTAAAGGCGTGCGCCACCACCGCCTAGCATGTGTTTGTTTTTTAGTCAAGATTTGGAAGCTCATTCTGGCCTCAGATTCACTATGTAGATGAAGAGTCCTTAGATTTTTGATCCTTCTGCCTCTTTCTTACAGATACTGGAGTTGCAGGTGTGTGGTATCATATCCGGTTTTATGTGATGATGGAGATTGAGTCCAAGGCTTTGGATACAGTATACAACAAGCACTGTGAAATGCAGTAAAATTGATGGAAACAGGCTTGTGTTTAGGCATGAAGGAATAGGCACATAGAGATAGGAACTTGGAAAATGCAACATTCACTTCAGTGAATTAATTGGTTTTGTTTCATAGTTAGGCACCTTTGAGATTACAGTCTGCTAGGAGAATAGGTGATTTGGGTGATTTTATGAGGTTTCTATAAAATAGTTTAATTCTTAAAACGTCAGCTGAATCTGCAGCACTGAAAATGTGGATGACTTTTGAATTCTTTCTTTTTCTCTGGATATGTGATAAATTGCAAGGAACAATCTGAGGCAGGAAAGACAAAATCAAACAAAAATAAGCAAAAAGCAGAAAAAAACCAGTGTTATAAAAGAAATGCTCATATATATTAACTTTAAAGTACTAGCAATGTTATCTGTGATACAGTCCTTTATGAAATAACATTGATACCAGGATAACATATATAAAATAAGTGCAGATTTCTCCCCATCTTTGCTTCTCTGTCTCTTCCTGTTTTGTGAGAGAAGATTTTTTACTCTGTAGCTCCAGCTGACTTGGAACTCATTTTGTAGCTCTGACTGGCCTCAAAATGATGGCAGTCTGCCTGCCTCAGCCTCCAAAATGCTGAGATTAAAGGCATGAGCCACTATTCTCAGCTCTAGTTTGGCATTTCATAAATAAAATTAGTAAGATTTGAATAATTGAAATAATATCTGTTAGCATATCTGATGTCATGTTGAACAAATGTTCTGGAAACTTATTGCTGCTTATTATGAAGTTTCAACTCTAATAATAAATGAATTATGTTTATTTATTGGAACATCTGTTCTGAAGCAATTCTGAATTTTATACTGACTGTAAAAATAATCACCTCTCATTTATATGCATTGTTAGATATCATATATTTTGGATTTAAACAAATGAAATAAGCACTTAGAACTTATATATAAAGTAAGTTTGTCAGATGGGCTGCTCCTCAATAGACAGTAAAAACTAAGCCCTGATAGGAATCCTCTCTCTCTAATGCTCAGTTTCCTTACTTTAAAGTTAGAGTGTGGGTTGATAATATTACTGAAGACTTTTATGACATTGGGATTAGTCAGTTACAGTGAAGATAATTCAGTGACTGTCACAGTCAGATTAGCTGAAGGACAGATTACTTTTGTTATATGTGGTGTAGTGTCTACAATAATGGTATAGTGTTTAAACTCCCAAACTCCAATGGATCTTTGTTATAATCAATAAGGAATATATAGAAAGTATATATAGCTCTGTATATGCTACATGCCAAGTGAAAAGAATGTCCAGTACTGCACTGTTTAAGATGTAGGGAACCACAGCAGTAAAATAGCATAGGTGATGGAAGAAAGCTCCTTTGAGTAAATATATGCCATTTTCTATAAGGCTTGTAGAAGCTGAGAGTAGAACCTGTGTTCACATTTAAGATAATGTGTATATTGGTGGTTTTGTGGTTTAATTTTTAGTTTTTTTAAGATTTTGAAATAGATGACTTGCTAAGATGTCTAGACTAGCCTCAAACATTGCAATTCTCCTGCATTATAATGCCTCCTGAATAGCTGGAATTGCAGCTATATTCTACCTCACTGAGCTGTGCCATTGTGACCAAGCAAAGATTCTTTCCAGAATGAATAGAAGGCATACTATGATGCTGGGTTTCTTTTAAATTAGAAATTTTATAAGGCAGTCAGTGATTGCTGAGAAAGGCAGATACATTTTTCTCAAGGAATGAGACTCTTGGTGTGTTATCCAATTTCAAGTGGTCAGCCCTGAACACATGGATATATAAGCAACACTAAATGCACTCAGTAGCTTCCGTGAATGTATATTTTTGAGTTGGAGGGAGAGGAGGCAGGTGTGGAAGTGATGTCAATGTAGCACTTATGTATAATATTCTGAAGAAAATAAAAACTTAAATTTGAAAATGTTAAAGTAAAAGTTTTATCACACACTTAACCATCAACAAGACCGAAGGCTGGCTATAAGTTCAAGATGGCCTGCCCTATCTGTGTCTGGGAATTATGGCAAAGGAGAAGTGTCTTGTTGATTGATGGGGTGCCTCTATACAGAAGGCATGTTTCTTTCTAGGTGTAGTACATGCTCTGGAGATTTTGGGCTTACAATATCATTGGCAGGAGAACCTGGCTTCATTTCCTCATGTCCCTTCTTGAAAAGCCAGTTCGGAATGCTAAGAATCATCAGCAGAAGGTCTGGGCTTTTCCTGACTGTCATCTTTGTTATTGAAGGAATTTGTGTCTTGGTGGTGATTCCAGGGTCTAGCTGATTTCATCATTATTTTTTAGATTATAACATGACAATTAGTGGACATACTAATGACTTGATACTAGGTATGAAGCTAGTTCCCTATTCTGTCATTTGGTTGTGTTTATGAACTATTACTTCTTTATTTGTAAAGTGGAGATAATATCTACCACATGGTGTTGCTTGTCTGTCTATCTATCTATCTATCTATCTATCTATCTATCTATCTATCTATCTATCTATCTATCTATCTATCTAATCTATCTGGTCATTCATTCATTCAGCAAACAATAAATGTCTCCTGGTGACATTAATTGATATAGGCTCTATCCTAAGTGTAGGTTTAATGTTAAAATAGCATGTATTTTCTTGATACCTTTATCTATTTGCTGCCATATTGGCTGAGGGCTCTTTGGCTCAATTTAATTTAGAGATCATGAGAAGGAAAAAGTAGTGTTATAGCCCTGACCAGAGGCTCTCAGCAGCTGGTGGGCATTAACAGTTTGCTAGCTGCTCTTGGCAGGACCTCCAAACACACACTCAGTAGCTGGAGTCAGTGGCTGCCAGAAGCTTTGGCAGCTCTCCATTGCTAGATTAGCAACCACTGGCAGTTCTGGAGCTTCTCCCGCAGCTTTTCTTGAGCACTCCCAGGCATCTCAGATTTTGGTTGCTCTAGAAGGTCTTTGGATCTAGGCATTTTCTAGGCCTATAGCTCTTGGTAGTAATGTCATCAGATCATCTCATTCATTTAGGAACAAATGATGAATGGTGGATTGGATATAACTTAAATAGGTAGAGCCCTTGATAGCATGCCAGAAGCCATGGGTTTGAGCCATCACATCACTTAAACCCAGTATGATCCCAGAACTCAGGAGGTAGATGCAAGAGGGAGGATCAGGAGTTCAAGGTCATTCTTTGCTACATAGCAAGTTTGAGGCCAGACTGGGCTGTGTGAGACTCTAGCACAAACAAACAGTTGGCAATAAAACCTCCTAGGAAGGCTTCGTAGAACCTATGCTGTACATGGCACAGAACAGGGCATAGATCTTCTAGACTGGCCTGAAAAGGATGTGAAGGATGCTGCGTATATAGCTGAAAAGGGCAGGCCTACATATATGTCGTCTTCTGACTGGTAACAGACTTTCTGCATTGCTTGTCAGTCTGCACAGGCATACTGAGCTTATCTGTCCTGACTCTCATTGGTAAGAGAGATGTTTCTCAGAAACTGGAATGGGGACATCTAAAGTGGCTGCAGCATTGGGGGTGGGAGGTGTT